ACAGGAAGGTTCCCTGGGATGAACCATCTCAGACAGCCCACGTTCGTGTTGGTGAAATGAAAAGAAAGCAGCGAATAAAATGCAAAACATTTATTCGAGTGTGTTGTACAAAAAGTTTCCAGTCATAAAATGTATATTACAAATCATTGAAAAAGACAAGACATTTGGCATGCATATTCTAGAAAGAAAAAAAAAAAATAAACCAAACCACTTTGAAATGATAAAGTCTAGATCATTACGTAGTTTTCGTAAGTTCCGCGTGATCGTTTTCATTGATTCGTCTTTCAATTTGCAACTTTTTTCACAACTCCTCATTTAAAAAACTCGAACCTTCCAAAAACTCACCCGCAGCAGCTGACCAGAGGTGGTCAGTGAAGCTGAGCAGTGACCTAGAACCAGATCTACCTAAATAAACATCGTGTTAACAACAACGACAACAAAAAAAAATAAATCACAATTCAAGTCACAAGGCATCACTGTTAGGAAAATAGAGTTCAACTGGTATTTTGTGCCCAAATGGAAAGCATTTTGGCTTAAACTTGTTTAAAATAGCTTATTGCTTGTAATTTTAGTGTAATGATGATCTGGGTCATTGGAATACACAAGAACATCTACCTTATCAACACGGAATCGTCACTTCATTAAAAGCTAACTAGATAATTTGGAAGTTCAATAAAACACATTTTATTTTCACCAACTCCGAGTCACTTCACCGCTTGTGCTATTCGGAACCGAGTCTTTCAGTATTAAGCATCCTTGTCACTCTCTAGACCTTACCATTTCAAGAAAGGCATTATGTTTACAAATAATAATTGCATGTAAATATGGTCTTGTATAAAAAAAAAAAAAACAAACACTTTTAAATTATTTTAAACTGGTTTAAAGCTAAGCATATTGAAGGGCAAATAAAAATTCTGTTTCCCAGGCCATTTTAAGTGAGGAAAAAACCCTCTCCAATATCATTTGTCTTGATATTCAGCTAGAACAATGCTTTGAAAAATGCAATCACCATCTCACCTTCCACTCACTGGTTTACAACAAGGCTTTGTGTCCTGCTCACACAGGGTTTGGACCCAACAGTGGCAATAAAATCCAGTATCAACCACGGATAGACCTTTGCTTGCAGGTAAGACTTTCAAAAGAAGATACAGAAAGACAGAGAATGGCTCAACAGTGAGGAAGCGAGAGAAGTGGCTACAAGAGGCGGAAAACACGCGGCACGCGCGCTTCCTCCAGCATCAAACTCTTCTGGTGCACACACAAGAAACAGATTCTCAGATGTTCGGGGCTGTAGAGAGGGTTTCTACAAGCCTCTTCGAACTAACCCCTGCTCAGCTTGCAGTTAAAGGGCCTTTACAAAAGATGAGCGTTAAAAAGAAGAAAAAGGGGCGTCTGAAACCCAGTAAGATCCCTGAACGGATCGTGAGGTGTCCTGTTGCTCAAGGATACGCGCACAGTAAGTGATCTCCTTTCACAGTACGGTCTGCTCCGCGCCGCGACACTATTTTCAGGGCTAACGCAAGCCGCGGACGAGCTCGTCCGGCTTTCCCGTCGCAGGTCGTGGGAAGCAGATGTTTGGTTTCTTCCTGAGACTTTTGGTTCCTGCTGCAAACACAGACTGCGCCAGCCAGCTCCCACCTCCACCGATGTCAGCGCCAGCTACCGGCTCTGTCAGGGCAAATCTCGAGTCCTGAAGCAGCCCGAGCTCGGGCAATCAAGCTGTGCGGCAGCAAAGGAATCGCAGCCGCTCCATCGCTTGGAACAAGTCGCTGCGACGCAGCAGCTGAAGGAACAGCTACGAAGCGAGGGGGAAGGAGGCGGCAGGGAACGTCAGGGGCTCTGCAACCCCGTCTCAGCCCGCGGGTGCCCCGATACCGACAGCTCTGCAGAGGGATGGACTTGTTCTGACACCAGCATCTTCACAGAGAGCGGGTTTAGGATTAGGTAGTGCGTGTTTATCATATTTTATATGATATTCTTTAATGAACTACGCAATGAAGAGACGGGCTTAACGACTCTGCTGTTAGTCCTTCGTCCTCTTAAGCAGTGAGAATCGTTTAGGGATCAGTTTTACTATTCCATCCAGAATCAAGTTGTTTGCTTATTCTTCTGGAATGTGAACAGGGGTAGTTACACTCAAGTAACTACTCTGATAAAAGCTATACTGGCTCATTTCCCTAATCAGAGAAGCCTTAAAATACTTTTTTCTCCTGACAAGTCAAATCTATTTCTCTTTAAGCTCTTCACCTGCTCTCAGACACAGGAGTACAAGTGCTGACTGTCCTCCAGCTTCAAGAGTGGTTCACGTACAGGATCACATAGGAAAAGAGGGCAAGGGGACACTGAATTTTTATTTGAACCAAAACCTTTTGATTATCGTGGAAAAAAAAAAAATCCTTGAAAGATAAGTGGGGGAGGCAAAAAAAAAAAAAAAGCTTTTTGGTCTGGTAAAGCCACCAAACCTCAAAGCATGGGGCACCAACTCTAAGGGACCACGATGTCACACTGAAGCTCAGCATCAAAAGCAAGAGGAAAGGAGGGCGCCTAGAGAGGACGCGCACACAAAACGCAGGTACGTGGAATACAGTAGTTTTTTCTGTGTCTTGCAATTTATAGTTGGGAATTCTTTTTTATTTTTTAGTAGCCTTTTAGAAAGGACTGCGGTGACAGAATCACCCGCGTTCCCACTGCTGGCATTTGGCTTTTCCCACCGTGTCCATCGCTGTTTGAGACGAACACCTGGAAGTACCTAAACGTGGTACTGAAGGATAAAATAAACCGTGTTCCGAAAGAACTCAGCTCCGAATCCAAGGATTGTTACGGAAAGGCGCAGTGCTCATCACAAAAGATCTGCCAGCCCCAGTCCTTAAGGCTACAAGAAGACACATCTCCCATACAGCAGCTGTTAAGAAAACTTATGGCTCAGGTAGCAAGAGGTTTGTCCTCATTTAAGCTGCCTTTCTTAGCCCACTCTTTAAAAAAAATAAAATCTCACAGAAAATAAATGCAAATGTAACTACAAACTCATAGCTTTAAGTATTTAAGATCACGGAACAATCTTAAAATTACAGGACAATCTTAAACAAGGATAAGCAATCTGAAAACTGGCCAATGTAAAAAAAAAATAAATAGAGGGGCGGGGAAAAAAAGCAAAAAGCCCTCAAACATTAAGTAATTATATTCTAGAAGCTGTGGGTCAGAAAGGGAAATGCTGCCCAGTGGTTGGAAGGTGCATTGCAAAAAATCCGTTTACGTTGATTGCATTCATTTGCGTAACAACAAATTTAGAAAAGGTAATTGATAACAGTATGTCTGAGAAACATAATTTCACTAGATACATTTTACAGAGAGATAGACATGATTTACTACATATTTAACCTTCTACTCAAGCAGAGTGGGAAAATTACATGAGAAAACCGGCCAAGTACATCGATAAAGTCACCCCGTTAGCCCAAACAGCCAAATCTTCACATCAATTTTTTTTTTTTTTTTGTAAATGATCTTTGGAAAACGGATTAAAACGTAATCCTAAATTCCTATCAGTTTAACTAATTCGGTCATCCCACTCAAATAGAGAAAGTAGCATCGTTGATTTATTTTTAAATGGCAAAATAAATCCGTAAGCTCAAAAAAACCTTAAAAGAAAAGCGCCTTTTGTTCCCACCCTGCTTGCATTACAAAGCCATCAGTCAAAGCCACTAAACTGACTCTCTAGGTTATATCTGTCAGTCACGATACTGTTCCGAGAACATAATGTCCAAAAGCCACCGAAAACATCCAAACTTTGTAGCTCGTTTGAGGAGTCTGAACTATTTGAATGACAAGATCAGAGTTCAAGAGTGCAGGTAAAACCAGGATTCTGTGCTGGCATCCCAGGGTATCCCGATTCGGGATCCAGACTAAGAACTAGGGGGAAACACATTTAATTGTACGTTCTTTGGAGCAGTTACGTATTTTACCTCGTGCTTAAAGGTGCACTACCACAGGAATACTAACGCTCACGGAACTCAGTTATCTCCACAGAAACGCAGCAGAAAAAACCTTAAGCTGAAGGGACACTGTCAGACAGAAAATGCATCAAACCGGAATAAAAATCACCTCCGACTTGGACAAAGCACTTTTTTTTTTTTTTTAAATAAGCAGCATTATTCTCCCTTCACTCGCTGTTAGAGGTTACTGTGAGGAGCACTGCAAGCAATGCTTAATCCTAAATGACAGCAGCTCCTTTGAACTTTGTTAAAAAGTCGTTCAATTCTGTCTGAATTATTTTACGAGTGCTGCTCCGTGAGGTATCTGACAACGCCCCTCGGAAGAGAAGGATGAACAAGCTGCATCTCGCTCTGATTTAAAAAGTCAACACTTACACAGGAGAACCTTTAAAATCTCCGGTGTTTCTCATTGCCAAAAGTGAAAATATTTTTTTTTTTTAACATCTAAAATCTCGATCATTTGGTTTAACCCCAAATATGTCGTTAGCTCAGGGTGTTGAACCTCACAAACTGCACATCACAACTCGCCTCCACGGTTCGACAAGGGCTCGTTTGTGACAACATCCAGAGCCCCTGAAAGGAACAGTCTCGTCTGACACTGCTGTGAAACCTTCCTGGGGTCCTGCAGATGAATATGCTTTCTTAAAAACTTTTTTTTTTTAATTATTATTATTTTCTGAGTTATCCTGTTTAGATACGCAATTACAGATTTACCATGCACTCAAGGAGTCTCATCCCGGTTTAGCTAAAAATTTCTTTTTTTGCTGCAGGTTTGTACATAAGACTTTAAACTCTGTATGGGGAAAAATACTGTATTCCAATATAGTGTTTCAACAAAGAGGGAAAAATAAAGAAATCTATTAAAAAGTCTGGCAGTTTTGTTCAGTAAAGTTCTTTTTTTGATTTTTTTTTTATAAAAATGTACCAAGGAGTAAACTTCAAAGAAATCACATGATGCATATAAAAATAGTTTTCAGTGGCTCTGGAGGGAAAAAAATAGCAAAAATAAAAGGAAATAAATGAAAAAAAAAAAAGAAGAGCAAATAAAAGTTTCCTTTTCCTTTCTTCACATCACTGCGCATCCTCTAGAGGTTGTTCTGGGATCCCCCTAAAATAAGACAGACACAGTTGAACTCAGTTTTTAGCAGCTTTTCCTATCGCAAGGCTGGGCCCTGGTTATCAGCTCCACTCTTAGAACCAGGGAACTCAAGTTCAAACCTGCCCAGAAGGAGTTCTTTGTGTACAGAGCTACTAACGGCCATTGATCGCTTGAGTGTGAAACGAGTTTACAGCATGTTCTGGTACCACCAGGTGTGTTTCCCCTTCTCGCTCTGCCAAGGGCTGGTCAGTTATTTCAGTCCTTAGCTAAGGGTTATGAAAACACACAGGTGGGATTAAGAAAAAACAAGTTTATTTCAGATGTAGCAGGTATCGGAAAGTACTCCAAGAAGCTGAAGCTAGCAGCAGCGAAGCACTCCCCCTTTCCTGGTTTTTAGCGGGTTTATTTCCCCAATGGTTATATTCTGCTTGTAGCAGAATACCACAGGCTCTTCTGCGGAGAAGCAACAGTAGCGGGATGTGGGGAACATTCACTGCTGCAACTCATCTTACTACCTCCACTGAGTCTGTGTGGTGGCAACGCTGTAAATCTGATGCGTCACACGTTCTGCAGCCACCGTGACCTCCCGACCGGACAGGAGCCCCGGCTCGAGCCGCCCTGTTATCGATTCGAGCAGCAGCTCCTGGAGGAACCGCTCACGGGACGCTCCCGTCGCTTTGGGGCGACGCTGCAAGGTTGCAAACCAGGCCGGGGTCACGCTCTGCAAGCGTCCCTTGGGAAAACGGACCAGGGAGCTCAAAGCTGGCAAACGTCGAAGGGACTCCCCTAAATCTTACGCCCGACTAATCTAACGGGGCCCAAGTTACACACCTGGTCTGCATCTCCTTACCTGTTGGTTGAAGAGGTCTTCTTCTCCAAACTCTGCTTCATCCTCTTCCTCTTCGTTCTCTCGCACGACTACTGATTTAGTAACGCTTCTCACTGCAACCTCCTGCACCAAATGACAGGTAAGGAGATGGTCAGTACCCACATCTATCTCAAGCTTTTCCTGTACTGCCAGTGTAACACCCTCATTAAATTTTGGGGGGATTAAAGCAACTTGCCTGAGATTTAACGTCAGCTACGTGAGCAAAAACTGGCAGGAACCGGCAAACCACAACGTTCCTATTTCTATCCACTAAGAGGCATGGTAATGTCATTTAGCTTCAGGAATTTTCTCTCATTACCCAGGGATTTGAGAGGAAGCAGCCACGTCTCAGGTGGTTGTTAGTTTTACGCAGGCTCACAGCTGAGCCAGCTGGCAGCTGAGACACATTGTAACACGAAAAACTAAAGTTTCTCAGTATGACTTCATGCCATTAAGAATATTCCTAATTTCTACTAAATATTCTATAGCAATTGCATGTATCCATTATGAGGACGGCGTTCCAAACCAGGCACTAAAAAGAATTCTAAAACCCCAGGAAGCTTCTTTTATTAAATAAACTGTTTTTAACACTTCTTAGTAGTAAGGAATTCTTCCGTACACCTGCACGGTGCAAATTTCTGCTTGTGGAAAAAGTCACTCTGAACATACGCTTCCAAGCAGGGACACTAAAGGCGATCACAGCACGAACAGACATTTGTATCTGCACCCCGGGATATTGTAGGTACTAGATAACGTAATTTTGAATTGCCAGCAATGCTTTTTTTTCTCTTCTGAAAAGACCCAATTCCAAACAAATCCTCTGCTAGCAGCGTGTATTTTTAACAGGAGAAAAAAATTTAGGGATGGAATCAGGATGATGGTCAGAGTTCTCCAAACCTTACCAAAAATCTCAGAGACATATACAGCTATGTGATTATTTCAGCGTTATATACTCTGTTATTTTAGGGATTTAAAACAAGGATTTTGACGTTGTTGTGCCCTGTCCCCCAGACTAAGGGGTCTGGGAGATAACCCAGCTCTCAGCCTCTTTCCCCCACCACAGCCTACCTCTCCTTCCGAGTTCACGAGGTATGTGCGGATATTCCCTCCAGTGCCCCAGCTGCCTTGGTTCTTCCACACGAGAACAGAAGGGGGGCTATGAGATACACCTGCATCTGCACCCCAAATCTAGGCAGGAAAACATTCTCAGATAAGCTATTGATGCATATTTGATTTTTAAATACACAGAATTCCCTAATTCTCCCACTTCTCTCTACGTACAATTTGCTTCTGAATCCCCAATGGCATTTCATCCTGTTTTATCAACATGAGATATTATTCTAAGTCTACAACAAAAAGTAACACCAGCCATTAAAAAAAAAAAGACAAAAAATTATCTACTATTGCAGTCATATTTCTGAAAATACATATTTTTCCTACCACTGTCTCAATGACTATACTCGTAGGGAGCCAAGACAAAATGCAGCTTGGAGTGCATCAATTTAATCTTTTCTGTGTATCTAAGCAACTGATACTTAAGTAGAAATAGCCAGAACCAGTTAAAATACTTTTTTTTTTTCTGACAGAACACCTGTGCAGACTGAAAATAAAATACAAAGCCACAGAAAAGCAGCAGTTCTACTACACATCTAGTCTTAAACTTAAGTCTACCAGACTGAATGAATGCTCTGAAATGTTCCTACTTCATCACGAGGTTGAGCAGGATTAGGGATCCAACCCTGAGCAAAGGTGTTTGAAAACAAACAGCCCTTGATGCACCTCACAAAAATACTTTTTTTTTCCCTCAACTTTCTCCGTGGTCAAAATGGTCTTAAATACTGACGTGCTAATACAAAAATTCAATTTCTGCTCTACATTCCTCTAACTGAACCCCTGCTCCTCTGAAGCAAGATCCACGAAGCCCAAAGTTCTGCGAACGAAACGTCAGATTTACAACCGCCAGAGCATCAACAAAAGAAAACGTTGTTGACATACTGCAAGTCCAACTTACTGTTACAGTCTGCCCAGCTCTGAGGACATACTTAGGTGTGAATTTGTAAGCAATTTCTTCTCCATCTCCAATTTGTCTTTTCAGTCTCCAGTTACCCAAAGACTGATCCTAATGGAGAGAGCCATCAGGTTATTTAGGGTGAGCAGAACAAAGTAAACAGGCATCAGAGCTTTCTCTAGGTCTCTTTTATTAAAATAACTTGAATATAAACTTATTTACATGGTTGTCAGACATCTGCATTCTAACTTTAAAGTATTTTTCTATAGCCACTACGAGTCTAAAGTGCCGTGAGGTCATTCGGCACAATTAAAAAAGACACATTTCACACATAAACAAGTTTTGCCTGGAGCCAACAGGGCTATTTACACGAGCAAGGTGCCAGCACACGTGTAGACATCTTGGACAAGTTATGTTCTCTTCCTGCAGCAAATATGACGCCCGTGCGAGCACGCCGTAACTGCTGCAGGATGCCGCACCTCCCGCTCTCCACGTGATTCCACCTGCAGAAGCTGTGCCACGTTTCAATTTACTCCTCCTTGTTTCCCAGAGTCCTGCTGATGCTCACCTTGTCCGAGTTGTTCTTCAGTTGAACATATTTGCCCTCCAGATCTATCTCCTCTATGCTGATGCTCCCTGTGGCTGAAGCTTGCTGGGACATTTGGAAGCTGCTGCTGCTGCTGCCGCTGATGCTGCCGGTGCCAATCCCGCTCGTTCCACTGCCCGAGAGCTCCTCCGCCTCGATACGTTTTCTCTTGCCTCGGGAAGAGCGAACAAGGGAAGTGCTGCTACTGCTGCTGCTGGAGGTAGCCCGAGAGACCGTAACACGGGAGGAGGGACTCGGAGAGAGCTTCAACCTTCACACAACGAAGCAAGTGTTTTAATTAATTCATCCAGGGAACGGCACACAAAGCAACAGGGCTACAACATCCTCAGTAACCAGACTGCCCCAGGGCTGAGAAGGGCTGTAGAGAAGACAAGGGAGGGCTGCTCTCCACCCCTGAGAAATTTTCTGGTGGTATTAGGTGACAGGGGAAGCAGAGCTGATGAGAGCAACACAGATCATTTAACTCTCCACCTCATCTAGTGCTAAACACACTAATTCTTGAGCCACATGATCTAAAAAACCAGCCAAATGTGAAAGTATAAGCACTTCAATAGAGAGGATGAATGTCAAGCACAGAATGATACATTCCATTGTACTCTGAGATCATTATAAAAATGAAAATAAAATAAAGACAGTCTTCAGATGAGAACAGTTGCAAGTGTTCCACATACATGTTCCACACAACATGACGTGGTGTGAAGTCAGTGTGACCCAGCAAAACAAAACCTGGGTATTCCTGATCAAATGGTAAAAAAAAAGTAAGCGCAAGAAATGAAAATAACACCTGCTAGTCCTAATAAAAAAATGTGGAAGCTGTACGTACCTTTCCTCCTCTCCCTCCAGGAGTTTTCGGTAAGCACTGATCTCCATGTCCAGTGCTAATTTCACATCCAGCAGTTCCTGGTACTCCGTGAGCTGCTGCTGCATCTGGTCCCTCATATCTGTCATCTCCCTCTCCTTCGCATCGATCATCTTCCTGAACTTCTCACGCTCACCAGCCATCATCTCCTCCAGCTCACGAATGCGATCTTCCGCGGCACTAGCCTAGGTAGACAGCACGACGGAAAATAACCACGTGGGTACAGCAAAGAAGTTAAAAATTCATCTCCCTCCCAAATGAACATTAAGGATCTCTCTCCATAGAATTCAGAAAATAGGAAGGGACAGAGAAGTTGACATATCCAGACAGTGCAGGGCTCTGTACTAGAGATGAAAGCAAATCCAGCCCGGTTACCTGCTTCTGAAGGCCAGAGAGCTGGTAGCTCAGAGCTTCTATTCTCATGCGAGCCTCCTTCAGCTCCTCTCGAGCTGCACCAGCAGCCTTGTCGTTTTGGTCAGAGGACAGCTTGGCGTTCTCCAGCTGGAAGGCAAATCGTGTACAAGTCACTCACATCGAGCTCGATATCCTGCGAATATCCTTTGGCTAAAATAACACGAAGTTATTTAATCTGAAATAACGTTAAATGGAAAGCTGATTAAGTTTATGATGCAAATTGCATAACATTAAGGAAATGCCCTAAGGAACAGGAAAATTTATTTTATTCCTATTATAGCAGGATTTGCTTACGCTGTTTAAAAAACAACAGGGTTAAGGTGAATAACTCCAAGACTGCTACTGTACTTAATTTTGCTTTTTAGTATCCACCATCCACATTGTTGCTGCCTTTAAGAAACAGTTACACATTTGTAGACAGATGTTTCTCAAACTGTAAATCTTCAAACCAAAGAATTCCAAGGGAGTCTCAGCAAAGGGTGGGGGAGAATGAGCTGAGCAGCACCGTAATTTCTCCGCCACAAGAGAATTAGAAGTGGCTGTAATTACTGGTGAGTATTTTCAATGACCAGAAAACCGGCAGCTGCCTAACTCCTTCAGGTAGGGCAATGAGTATTTAAAAAAACAAAAAAGAACCCAAAAAAACCCCAAACCACAACAAAACTGCAACTAGCAACTGTACCAAAAAAGCAAGCTGCTACTTCTATGTTCCCAGTGCTGGATGAAGTGGAATTTTCTGTGACGGATACACCTGACTCCTCGCCATCCTTCGGGTCAGGCTGACCGAGGAGCAACAGCCTCACGTCCCGGGGGTGAGCTGAGCTCGCTGGCATCCCGGCCACAGCTCACGCTGAAACGCACCTGCTGCCCAGCCCTTCAGCTCCTTTGAGCCCACCTGTCGCACCTACCGCGAGTCGCCTCCGCTCTGGAGGAAGAACTGGATCTACCGACGTGAAGAAAAAGGGCCTGTAGCAGAGGACACTGTCTAACCAGCTCCTGTGTGACACCCCTGTTCCCGCCGCGACTCCGTGCTGACCGACAGTTCACAGTTGGGTTTTCTCACACACTGACCCTTCCTGGCTAAGTTACTCCCAGCTATCAGCTCCGGCTACACCCTCCCTGGAACCACATCTGCGCACAAGCGCCCCAGGAGGCATCTGAACGCTGGGACGAAGCTGCTTCCCGTTACAATTACTTGTCTCCTTCAGGAGGGTAGGGCTGATGGGAATGGTTTTCTCTCACCAACCAGCCTCCCCGTCCCTCAGAGCTGGGGGCAGCAGCACCCACCTTAGCCTGGTAGGTCTGCTCCAGCTCCATCTTGTACAGCTTCACTTGCTCGTCGTGCTGGTTTCGCAGATCCTCCAGGGCCTGAGTCATTTTGGATTCGTACTCCTGCTGCCGGCTGGTGTCCACCTCGACCAAACGATGTTCATGTCGTTTTCTTGTTTCCCTTATTTCCTACACACACACAAAATCGGGACAAATTCCCACGTCAGGTCGGTGCCGGTCTCTTCTCACAAATAATCAGCAATAGAACAAGTGGGAATGGCTACAAACTGCAACAGGGCAGGGTTAGACTGGACAGGAGGGGAAACTTTTTCCCAGCAAGAGCAGTCGGGAATTGGCACAGGCTGCCCAGGGAGGGGGTTGAGTCCTTACCCCTGGGGGTGTTTAAATGTCGTTGAGATGTGGGGTTGGGGCACATGGTTTAGGGGTGAGCTTTGTAGAGTAGCGTTAGTGGTTGGACTCGATGATCCCATCTCGTTTTCCAACCTGAACAATTCCATGATTCTAATGCATCAGCTCACCTGCCCACGGAACAACACCCTTGCCACTTCAGCTCTCAGGCCAGCTCCACCACTGTCTGATTTCTCAAGGCATTGTTAGCAAGGATGATACTGATTTTTCCCTACCTGGACTAGTTAGTAATTGCTTAGTCACTTTGAAAAAGAACTATACAAACTTCAGACCACGGTAAGATTACTCAAATGGAAATACCTCCTCAAACACATTCTTCCTGAAATCCAGATCCTCTTGCAAGCTCTGGCACCGATTCTCCAGGTCCACACGCATGAGTGTCTCCTTCTCCAACTGCTTCTTAGCCACAGCGTGACCATCTTCAGCCTAGTAAAGAATTTTGAAGATTTAATTTTGTCTGGATCTCTGTTTTCCATCCATAATCCCTTTGCGGTCTTTGTTTGACATCTTTGGACCAATTATCCACAACAATAAATCTAATGTCAAGCCACTGATTTTCCAGGAAGGGAAGAAAAAAAAAGTGTGATTATGAATATTTAAAACCAGTTTTGATGTGTGTATACCAGTTATTTTAGAAGTAGAATTATTTCAATACAGTATGATAATGGAGCTGAGGATTATTAAATCCTCAAGCACAATATGTTGGACATTCTTTTTCTTTCTCGCAAAATTTCTTTAGCACCCTGTTGCTTTAGTTGTTTTAAAGAGATTGCTTACGACTTAGTTTTATATCCCAGAGAGGCAGGC